GATAGATAGATAGATAGATAGATAGATAGATAGATAGATAGATAGATAGATAGATAAGTAGGCAACTCATAAAGACAGAATGAAATTAAGATAGGCCAATATTATACTTTCAGCTGCTTTTTCTTTCTTGGTCACAAATGATCTCACTATGAGGCCTATTCTGATATCAAACTCTCTGTGAAGCTACCAAACAGAGCTATAGGCTTCATACATGCTGAGGATGCATTACATGGTAAACAGGGTATTATACTCCCTCTTCTTCAAAATATTATTTCAACCAAAACCCGAGCCTTCTTTGACTTCTAATAGTTTCTTTGACCTGTAATGATGAAATTTGACTGTCACCTTGGTGGGATTTATATTAACCTAAGAGACACACCCTTGGGCATGTTTGTCTGTGTGACCCTTTCTAGGGAGGTTTCACTGAGATGGAAAGAACTGCTCTGGGTGTAGGTCATACCAGTAATTCTGGGCCTTGGTGTGCTAGTCTGAACAAAGACAAGAAAGTATGAGCAGTAACGTTCATCTCTCTCCGCTTCCTGACTGCAGATACCACGTGACCTCACGCTCCAGTCACCACTTTTGGGAACTTCTCGGTGCCACAACCTCTAATTGAGAGCCAAATAAATTTCCTTGAGATTTCGTAAAGTATTTCTTCACAGAAACACCAAATGGAACTAGTAAAGCCCCATTCACTTATCTCCATTGGCTTAGGCTTCTTGGCCATGATCGGGGAACACTGTGGAACTTTAATAAAAACCTTACTCTTCAAACCACAGCTATTTGTCTGGGTTTACTTGCCACCATGGTGTCCTAGGAGTACCTGACTCATTTTTTACAGCCTGCGACCCTACCAGGTCTTTAGCTTCAGTAATTTAGAACAAGCATTGGTACCTGCAACTAAAAGAAACCAAATTCATTGACTATCTAGTAATGAGTGCCATCATAGCCAGACCTCAGGAAATAAACAGCACTAGATTTTGACCTATGAAACTTTTAAATAACATATAGTGGTGGATAATAGTAATCTAAGTACTTTCAGAACCTAAGGTAGGAGAATTATACTTCAGGCTGGATTGCTTGGCATATGCAAAGGATTAGTCTGACAACTTACGGAGAGTCTGTACGGAAATGTAAAGAAAGGACAAACAGGCAACAAAACAAAACAAAACATGTAAATGCTGGCATAATTCACAGATAGCACTGGCATTGAAGAAAAACAATTGACGAGGTAGATTCAAGTCTCTATGAAGCTAAAGTTACAGTTTATGATTGAAATCTGAGAAAGTTAGACAAAGCAATTGGTGGAACAAGTAACTAGGTAGAATAGTGACATGAATCAGACACATCATGAGATAAATCCCTTCCTGCTGATGACATTTAAAATGTAGAAAGCAGAAGCTGTTTCTTTTTGTTAAGTGTCTGGTCCCAATATTCTAATGTATGTGTATTTTCTTTTTCCCCAGAGAAGACTCAAGTGAATCTGTATATTTTAAACCCAAATGGCCTGATTTCAAGACCCTGTATGCCACACCTAAGAGACAAGGAAAAAACACCTGTAAAGAATGCGCTGAAAGGAAGCAGCGGACATGTAGAACACAGGAGCAGATGTGTGAACGGCGGTGACTAATTGGCAAGCTTTCAAGTTCCAGAGTCCTGGTGTCAGTCAGACAGGGAAAGTAAGGCTGATTTTCACTTTTAATTCTTCACTCACAGGTTCCCGAAGGCATTCAAGAAGCCAACTTTGCATAAAGAAGATCTCAAATTGAGCAAGTGAGTTTGTCTGGCATATGGCTATTGGCTTTTCCCTATCCCCAGTGAGGCTACAGGAGAAATGAAGGATCTAATGTATAGAAAAAATAGTTTAAATATGGAAAGAGGAAGAACTTTCCTGACTGGCAGTGAGAAGAAGTTTGTAAAATAAAGAGAGGCCCAATTAAGTCTTGAATCCTGCTTCAGTGAAAAGCTTCAAAAATTAGAGAGTATCCTTATCTGTCTTGTTGTCTTCCGGGAAAAGAAACTAGTCACTCAGAGACCGTTCTAGACTTTGAAATTTCTCCAGTGACAATTGAACAATGCCCTTCACTTAAATTCTAGCTAAACTGAAATGCTATAATATGAGACAGTTCAGAGTATCCACAATGAGTAGAGACAAAAGTAGAAAGAAAAATTGAGCCCTTTCTTTTTGTGATAGAAATAGTGACTAAAAACTGGGAAGTTGGGTATGGTAGCTTTTCATAACCCTAGCACTTTAGAGGCTGAGACAGGAAGATCATCATGATGACATAGCTTGGGCTACATAGGAAGTTCCAGGCCAGGGATAGCTACAGTGTATGGTCCTATCTCAAGGAAAACAAACATGAGTAAGAAAGAAAAAGAAAGGAAAGAAGGAAGAGGGATGGATGAATAAAGGGGGAAAGGAAAGGAAAGAAAAGGAAAGGAAATGGGTAGACAGGCAAACAAAGAGAGAAAAGAAAAAGGAGTTTTCCCATTTTCTCTCAGGGTAGCCTTCTGAAGGAATTTCCTCAGCTGGATATCCTGGTATAGTCAATAGCATCTTTTCTATTCTAAGACATTATGTTTATTTTGAAAATTATTTGGTATTTTTAGCTTGAGAATTTCAAAAATGGGTACTATATTGGCATAATTTCCCACCTCAATTTCTTCCCTCCAACTACTCCTATCATAGAATCCTGCATAGGAAAAGACCTTTAGATATTTTGCCTATATTCATAAGATTGTGCAGGTGGTCATCGACAGGACACTTCTAATCTAAAATTGATCAACCATTAGAGTCTCTGTTATTCTAGAGTTCACTTTTCAAGAATGACTACTTTTGGAGAAGACAAGTTCTACCAGGCCTTAGGTATTTCACAAGCATGAAATCTGGACAAATCACGAAACATGACACTTTAAGTGAACAAGCTCTGGAATCTATCTTCCTAGACCTCAGTTGAAGGTTCACCTGACCTCAGACAAGCTACTTGATGTCTCACTGCCTCAATTCCCTTAATTTTATAATGGAAATGATAACAGTAACATATACTATGCAGACATTTGATGTGGGAGTCCCCTCTGTATTCTGTGACTATTGCTGATTAATAAAGAAGCTGCTTTCAGCCAATGGCTAAACAGATTATAGCCAGGCTGGAAGATATATATATATAGAGAGAGAGAGAGAGAGAACGCAGAGTCAGAAACACTATGTACCTGTCAAAGGAGATGAATGCTGGAACTGATAAACCGTGAGCCTCATTGTGATACACAGATTAATAGAAATGGGTTAATTTGAGATGTAAGAGGAAGCTAGAAATATGCATATATTAATAGGCTGAGCAGTGTTTTAATTAATGCAGTTTCTGTGTGGTTATTTTGAGTCTAGGCAGCTGGGAAACAAACGAGCAGTCTCTGCCTACACACATTTCAATAGCCAACGAGATTAATAAATATCAAGTGACAGATACTTAAAGTACTTAACTAAGATTTGTTTTTATTAAACAACTGCTTTTCCCCATGGCTCGTCTCCCAATTTCTGACCATATTCCTCTGTTAATTGTTCCTCACTTTGCCTTCACAACAAACAGCTGAAAAGCCAAAAGTTGAACAGTACTCCATTCAAAAGCTGCCAAAGTGAAGTCATTATTTTGCAATTTTTCAGAGGTACCTAGTGACAGGCCAGGGTTCTCTTTGAGGCATAGGTCCTGTCCCAACACACATGCAATCATGCTCTGCTCCAACTGCTCCTCCAATGCCCGTCTCTCCTACTGTCTTGTAGATGGTAAGTACACTAGAGTGTAAACACACTTCATGTACATATTTCCCTTGCAACTAACAGTCTCAAAACATTTTATCATAGCTGTAAAATTTTGTCCCAGGGAAACATAGTAAAAAGAAAAAATGAAATCACAGGGTAATTCTTCCTCAGTTAGATTTGTCCCCACCAATTCTCCTTTTCTATTTGGAATTGTTACTAGCAACAGGGAAGTTCTTTGCTAGTGCTGGAACCTGGAACTTTCCAAGACAGCAGCAACTGATTAAAAATGTACATTTGATTTTTTTGTTTTATTGTCTTTTTTTTTGGTTGTTTTGATTTGCCTTTTTCAGTTTGGGAGGTTTATTTGAGAGACAGAGAAAGAACATGAAGTTGAGTGGGTAGGGAGTTGGGAAGGATCTAGAAAGAACTGGGAAAGGGGAAAGAATATGGTCAAAATATATTGTGCGTAAATTTTAAAAATAATAATTTCAATGAAAGAAAATAAAATAAGTAAAAATGTGCATTTGTATCTATACATAAAGGACTCTAAATCAGCATACCACAGAGACATCTACAAACCCATGGTTAGTTTCAGCACGATTTACAATAGCTAATATATGAAACCAGTTTAGATGTTTGTCAATAGATGAATGGATAAAAAAACATAACACATATACACACAATGGAATTTTATTCAATCATAAAGAGAAACAAAATCATGAGACTTGAACGAAAATGGAAGTAGAGATCATTAAGATAAACCAAATAAACTTGACTCAGAAAGACCTACATTGTTTTCTTCATGTAAGGTACCTATTTTTTTAAGCGTATATGTAGAACAAAATGCAGGTGGGCATCTATATCAGTGAATGAAAGGATCTAAAGATCAGAGAAACAAGGTAGGGAAGTGAGTGAAAATCGTAGCAAAACCCATTATTTTCCATTCTGTTTTATATAAAGTAACTTTAAAGTTACTAGCAGTAAAAATGTAGATTCTTGGG